GCGCAAAATGAAAGCGCTATGCCTATAATGGCAGTAAATTTTCGGTTGACTAGATCGCTAAGATAGGCAAAAACTGGTGGAAGAAAGAGGATAATAGAAGGAAGCAGAAAAGCTGTTTCAAATACTTTTTCAAATTGATGCCGCACGATAAACATTCCAAAATAAATGAGAATGCCGCCGTATGCAGAGATCCAAAAAGGCGCTAAGAGCTTTTTCAAGAAAGAAAGCTCTAGCTTTTCAGTTTTGAGAGGGCGCAGGCTTTTGTGGATCGCTGCTCTCCTTAAAAAATAGAGGGCAATCCCAAAAGAAGAAGCTCCCCAAAAACCCACTCTCCACAAAAAATTGGCTTGGTCACTGTTGATAATCATTTGAGAAACAAAAAGCCCTAAGATCATACCAACCATTCCACCGGCACCAACGAAGCTTGTTACAAAGGCTCTGTTTTTAGAAGGCGTTTTTTCAGCGGCATAGATAATGGCTCCTGAAAATTCGCCTCCTGCAGAAATACCCTGTAAAAGACGTATAACGATCAAAGCTATGAAGCTTTGTTTGGGAAAAGTTTCAATAGGGAGGCAGCCAAGAGCTAAGGTTGAGAGAGACATGAGAAAAATGGAAGATAAAATGGCAACTCTTCTCCCAAACTTGTCGCCCATATAGCCGAACAGCACTCCCCCCAGAGGGCGTGCGACAAGACCTATAGAAAAGACGAGATAGGTTGATGATAAACTGACTTCAAATCCAGAGGCCCAAAATATTTTTTGAATTAAGGGGGCCACAAACCCAAAAAGAGTGAATTCAAAAAATTCTAGAGAATTTCCCAATCCGCAAAGGTATATGTACTTGCTTTTTAAAATCATTTTTCTACTCCCGCTTTTTCTAAAATAATGCCTAAATATTCTTTCCCAGAACGAGAAGGGTCTTTTTTTTCATAATCAAATAAATGGTGTTGCAGAATTTGAAATCCGTACTTCTTTGAAAGGGTTTCGAAAGGATGGTGGTCCATCAAATGCACATAATCCGGAATATTTTTACGATCTTCTTTGAGTCTTTCTCTCATGTTTTTGATCTGTCCAGGCCATGATTTTCCAAATCGAAGCTTTTTTAAATACTCTCTCTCAAATCCTGGTAGGGAAGAATGGTAGGGAGACATGGTGATGATAAAAATTCTTCCTCCGGGTTTAAGCCATCCACTGAGAAGAAAGAACCCTGTTTCAATCTCATTTGGTGTTAAAAAATGGAGGACACGACCAATATAAACAGCATCTAAAGAATGGCCTTTAATCTTCAAGTCTTGAGGAAACCTTCCCCATAAAAGGGAAAGTTTTTTTTGTAAGGTTTTAGGTGTAACTTTTTTCAAATAGGCGAGATGCCTAATGTCGACATCATTTGCAATGATTTCTCCTCCATTCTTTAGAATCTGCTGTACAACGAATCCAAAAGCACATCCAATATCTAAAGAGACTCTTCCCCTTTGTGTTGAAAAGAGGATGAATCTTTAAGTGATGTCATCTAAATCAGACCTCATAAACCCTTGAGAATTTAGAGTTGGTATTCTGTTTTTTTTGTCTTGTTCTGGTTTTTTGCCAGTAAATGTTGGAAAAGAAGGATCTGTTCCTTTGAAGATTGCTCCTTTTAAGAGCGAGATGGGGGCTGTTTTGCCATTAAGCTTTATTTCTTGGGCGGTCAGATTCAATGGCGTGAGAGCAAGGGCGCATAGGGTAGGAAATTTATTCATAAAATCTACTCCCCCTTTTTAATTATTTACAATTTTAGTATTCTCCTTTGTCACGGTTTTGGCAATAAATTTTTGTATTTCTAAAAGGTTGAAATTTTTTATTTTTTTATACCCATAATATTGAGAATGAGTTTTTGCCTATCTGCGGACTTTCTATATGAAGAAGAAGGCCATGAAACTTTATTTGGATATACATATGGTATATGAAAAACGCTTAATTTTGGGAAAGTGGTGGCTGGAGAGGGATTTGAACCCCCGACACACGGATTTTCAGTCCGTTGCTCTACCAACTGAGCTATCCAGCCAATTTGAAAAGCCCTATTACGTCAAGAACGTTTAGCTTCCTTTCATAATCAATGTTGAACGCCGTGTCCAGAAGAAGAACAAAATTTTTCTGATCAATTTAAAAGGCATATATAGAAAGCTTTGAAAAAGAGGGGCTTCGAGACGTTCTCCAAGAAAGGTATGCGTTTGCGAGTATAAAAAGGGTTGTGCGTGAGGATCATAAAAAAAGTGGCGTTAGAAAAGAGGAACTAGCCCCTTTCTGATGATGTAACAGTAGCTTGTAGTTCTTCAGGTGTTGGGGCCTCTTCTGTTGGAACCGCATATGTCCCAGAAACCCAGCGATTTAGGTCCACAAGTTTGCAACGCTTTGAACAAAAGGGCGCTTGATCAGGGACAGGCTTTTGTTCCTGGCAAATAGGGCATAAGGTGTTTGCTTTTCCCATTTTTAAACTCACTTTTAAAAGGCTCTAACCTACTTATGACGGAAAGTAATACGTCCCTTGCTGAGGTCGTAAGGCGTCATTTCAACCGTTACCTTATCTCCTGCAAGAACGCGAATGCGGTTTTTACGCATCTTTCCCGATGTGTGGGCGAGAACAATATGTCCATTTTCTAATTCTACACGAAACATTGCATTGGGCAGGAGCTCAGCAACCGTGCCTTCAAATTCCATTAAGTCTTCTTTTGCCATATAACTTTCGTCAATTTTTCAGAAACTGTCACCATCACTGCAGGCAGTTGAGTAAAAGGTCAAGTTTTTTTCTCCAAAATGGATCTAAAAAAGGCTCGATTGTGGATCTTTTTCAACTTTTTATTGAGAAAAAATGGACAAATCAAAAAAATAATAGGCCAAGAAAAATATAAAAGGGAGAGCTCAACTTGAACGAACATAATGCAGAGGAACCCTTAACTCGAATAGAGATTTACAGCCGCTTATACAAGGCTTTGAAAAAACTTGTTGAAATTAAGAATGAGGAAAAAAAGCTCTATCGTTGGGATGTCTGGGCACGGGAAAAACAGAAAGAACCTTTAGGGGATTGGCACAGTTGGTTGATTCTTGCAGGTCGTGGGTTTGGGAAAACACGCACAGGTGCAGAAACCATTCGAAAATGGGTTTCAACAGATCAGTGCCGACGCATTGCTCTGATTGGTGAAATAGAAGCAGATGTTCGTCGTGTGATGGTAGAAGGGGAAAGTGGCCTTCTTAATATTTACCCGCCAGAAGAACGCCCTGTTTATGAGCCATCAAAACGACAGATTACGTGGTCTAATGGGACGGTCCCCCATTTGTTTAGTGGGGACCAGCCTGATCAATTAAGAGGGCCTCAATTCGATGGGGCATGGATCGATGAATTGGCTAAATTCTTAGCGCCAGAAAAACTTTGGCAACAGCTTCAATTTTCTTTGCGTTTGGGGAAAAAACCACGGTCGATTATTACAACAACACCGCGCCCCATTCCTTTATTAAAAAAATTGTTAGAACAGTCTGAAAGTGGAAGTGTTACTGTGACTCGGGGGTCAACTTTTGAAAATACCTCTAATTTATCGAGTCACTTTATCGATCAAATCAAAAAAGACTTTGAGGGGACACGTTTAGGGGGGCAAGAACTCTATGCGGAGCTCATTGAAGAACAAGAAGGGGCTTTATGGTCCTTTACTTTGCTGGAAAAACAGACCATTGAGCGACGAAATATGCCACTTCTCACCAGACGAATCATTGCTGTAGATCCTGCGGTGACCCATACTCAACACAATGATGAAACGGGAATCATTGTGGCAGGCCTTGGAGAAGATGAGAATGTTTACGTTTTAGGGGATTATTCAGGGAGATACAGCGCGACACAATGGAGCCAAAAAGTTATTCAACTTTATCATGATTACAACGCGGATCGCGTCATCGCAGAGGTGAATCAAGGGGGTGACTTGGTTGAACAGCTCTTAAGAGTCGCCGATCCAACCGTCAGCTACAAAGCGTTGAATGCTACTGTAGGAAAACGGCAAAGGGCGGAACCTGTTGCTGCTTTATATGAGCAAGGTCGCGTATTTCATATCCGCGGATCTTTAAAGATACTTGAAGAACAGATGACACAGTTTGTGCCGGGTCAGAAAAGCTCCCTAGATCGCATGGATGCACTTGTTTGGGCGGTTACAGAATTAGCTCTAAAACGTCGAAAAATCCATGTTTGGCGCAGTTGAGACTGTCTTTTTTAACTTTTTTTTATTGTTTTAAAATAGGCTGTTAATTAAAAACAATGTCCGAAAAGAAAGTTTTTTAATGCAAAATTCTTCAATCTTAAAATAAAATAAATATAGATCGAAAAAAAGATCTTAAAAATAATAATAGATAAAATTTTATATTTTAAAAAACCTCTTCTTACAGGGAGAGGGTAAAGGGAAGTATTATGTGGGAATGGTTTCAAAAACCGTTGAGCACGGGTGTGTT